TGGAGACGTTACTGGGCCCGCTCGAGCAAATCGACGATCAACGGGAGGGCCTTTACCTTTACCTTTAATGTAGGAGGTACTGCTATTTATTCAGCCATTGATTAAGCTGACTGAATTGAGCATGATCTCCACTAAAAATTTTTTAAGGGAATGAGTTAATGCCAGAGGGCTCAAAAGACTCAAGCATATACTTTGGCACTGCAAGGACTGCTGTGTAGGCCCCCACCCTCAAACCTAAGTCTACACTGCTCTGTACAGTAGGTAGCAGTCACATGTACTATATATAAAGTACTTGAACATAAGTAGTGAATTAACATGTGGTACTTATACTTTATATTTTAAAAATGGTATTCTTAGGGCCGGAGCCATAGTACAGGGGCTAGGGCACTTGCCTTGCATGCAGCTGACCTGGGTGGTTCCCTGAGCATGCTAGGAGTGATCTCTGAGTCTCTGAGTGCAGTGTGAGGAATAAGCCCTGAGCACCAATGGAGTGGCCAATAAAAAGGGTATTGCAAATGTACTAGATTAAATGATTAAAATTTATTTCACCTGTTTTAAATTTTCAACAGACGTTTAAATTACCTATGTGGTTTGTCTATTACTTTGGAGAGCACCATGCCAGTAGATACAAACAAAAGGCCAGCTCAGAGTAGCAAATATTATTATCCTTTTGTAATATCATCAATGACTGACCGACTTATTTTTGCCAGTAATTTATAAGGAGGAAATAGTAATGGCATAAACTTTCATTTCAGAAGCAATGATGAGTTCTAAAAATGAATTAGTCAAATAAAATTTCCCTTGGAAGGTTTAATTATAGCATCTCTCCTCTTCCTTCCCAGTAATTTGTTCAAAAAACCCATGGGTCAAATATCACTTAAAGTAAATGGTTTCAGGAAACGTAATGTCTTGATTAAGTTAAACTTTAAGAATATTAATACGCTGGAAAAAACCCGAGTGCCCAAGAACAGATGACTAGTTAAAGAAACTTTGATACATCTACACAATGGAATACTATGCAGCTGTTAGAAAAGATGAAGTCATGACCTTTGAATATAAGTGGATCAACATAGAAAGTATCACGCTAAGTGAAATGAGTCAAAAAGGGAGACACTCATCTGTGGAATATAAAGTAACAGAATGGGAGACTAGCACCCAAGAATAACAGAGATAAGTACAAGGAGGTTTGCTCCACAGCCTGGAAGCTGGCATCACATGCTGGAGGAAAAGGCAGCTCAGACAGAGAAGGGAACACCAGGTAAAATGTGGTTGGAGGACCTGCTTGGGATAGGAGATGCGCGCTGAAAGTAGATTATAGATCGAACACGATGGCCACTCAATACCTCTACTGCAAACCACAATACTCAAAAGAAGAGAAAGAGAACAAAAGGGAATGCCCTGCCACAGAGGTGGGGTGGGGAGGGGGGATGGGGTGGAGGGGTGGGAGGGATGCTGGGATCATCGGTGGTGGAGAATGGACACTGGTGGAGGGATGGGTACTCGAGCATTGTATGACTGAAACACAAGCATGAAAGTTTGTAAGTCTGTAACTGCACCTCACAGTGATTCACCAATAAAAAAAAAGAATATTAATACGAGGTGATCCTACAATTATTCAAAGACCCATTGCTCAATGTTAATAAGTGGGAGTAATGGGTGTGGTGGTAAAATTCCAGTTCTCTGAGCTGGATATTCGGGGGAGAGGGGAGGGGGAAACATTCCTCTACAATGCAGCAAAGCAAGATCTCACTGCTAGTGTGCCTACTTCAATTGAGATTGAGGGGGAAGAGTCTGTTAACAATTTAACTGTGTGAAGGCTCAGGTTTATGGTATCTAGGAAAGCAAATGGACGTGGCTGGTTTACCTTAGTGCTTCTCAAGCAAGGGCAATATAACCCCCTGTAGGCCTCATACTTAAGAAGGCCAAAGGTGAAAATCACTATACGTAGGAGGCAATGGTAGAATGGAGAGTTAACCAGTAGGTCAGTGGGAATACAGGAAGGAAACAAGACTGGAAATGGGCCATCAGAAAAAGTTCGGGAAACATTTACCTGCTCTTCACTTACAGATATTAATACAAGTACCACTAGTGGACTTAGGTACTTGAGAAAGACAAACTATTACTCAGGTTTCTTAGTTTTATAACCAAAGCAACCTAATACAAACTTTAAAAAGAGCCAAGGGACTTGCTCAAAGGGCTATTATCGCAGGCTTTGTATGAATGAGGCCTGGATTCCATCCTTGATGTCCTCTGAGCATCTCACTGACGGGTAGTTCCCCAGGAGTGATGGGTGTAGCCCCAACCACCAAAAATAAACACATTTTTCTAAAGAGTGAAAATTTTTTCAAAAAGAAATTCTAGGAGACTATTTCCTGTTGGCTGATGAAACTAATACATAATTGTCACAAGAACATCATGCAAAATATCGGAACAGGAACTGTATTTCTAGTTTTAATTCTGCAATGTATAACATACATAAAATTAAGCTTTTTTTTCCCCTTTGTGGGTCACACCCAGCTGTGACCAGGGCTAACTCCAGATTCTGTACTCAGGGATTACACCTGGAAAGCTCAAGGGGCCATATGGGGTGCTGGGGATCCAATTCAGGTCTGTTGCAGGCAAGGCAAGCGCCCTACCCACTGTAATATCACAACGGCTCCCAAGTTCTTAAGATTTAGGTACTTAATTTCACTTAATTTCCTGCCAAATGCCTATAAAAAAAATGAAAAGACTAGTATGGTCGCTGCAGGTAGAAGTGATCTGTACAGATTCTTCTAGTATTTCCACCAAGTGGATGACACCACCAGTAGGGGGCGCCTGAATAATCCGAAGGGAGGGTAGTAGTGGCCTGGGGTGTAGAGTTCGAGGGGTGATTACTCCCCCCCATTCTGAAAAGAAGATGACAGGCCACATAAATTTGAAAACTGCAATGATACAAAATTGTTTGTACCACTCCATAATAATGTCCAATGGGCTACTTGAACTGGTCTCCTTGCATCTCCTGTAATAGAAGTCTACAGCTCTGGAAGGAGGAGACATCAGCTAATATAAATTAATGCCGACCGTCCCTAATACAGTGCCTTACACGTTTTCCATACCAATGTATTTCAATGGACTAGCTGGATAGTATTTCTGCCTGTTCCAGTTCCCCAACCCCCAATTCCTCTTAACTGGGTGGACCTGGCCATCAGCCAGGAACAGGCACAATGTTATTTCAGCTGTTTCAACTCTAAAACATAAACTTCAGGCATCAACAACATTCATACTTCAAGAGTTTTAAAGCAGTATTTCCAAAGTGGGAGGTACCAGCTTCACGGACCCCCTCCCAGAGGGGTGGGGAGTACAATGCAGAACTATCCAGAGGGCAGCAGTATCCTCAGGTAAACTGGGGGTGGGGTGGGGGTGGGGGTGGGGGGCTCTCTGAAAGAAGATAGGGAGATTTCCAGGAGGGGCATTGAGTGATTTCTTCCTTTTTTTTTTCCTCACAAGGGGGGGTGGTGATCGGCAAAATAAGCTTGAGGACCTCTGGGTTTGGAGAGAATCTAGGAACTTAAGAGTCTTGCAAACATCTCCCGTCGTTCTCCGCCAACTACTCCAACAGTCCTGGCACACCCAGGTCACAGAAAACCCCAGCTATTACCAAAAGAATGATTGTCTACACTGGGACAATGTATTTAAGTGCTACAGGGAGGTCAAATTGTTTCCATACATCTCTGACAAACTGCAACTTCCATTCCCTGGAGAGTAAGAGCTGGTCTGCAACGCCCAGCTGAGGCTCATGGGCTCAGGTCAGAGCCAGGTGCCCCTAGTTGTATCTCGGGAAGAATCCTCCTGGAGAACCCCAATCCCTGGGAGACCAGGTGCAGGCAGGCTCCTCCTGTCTACACACAAGTGCCCTAGCCAGTTAATGTCCCCCCCACCTTCCTTTGCCCAACACGCCATAAAATTCTTGCAGTACCAGATAGGGTCCAACAGGGTCCCATTCTGTGGCAGAGAATAATAGTTTATCAGAGATTACAAGGGCCTCCCTTTCCCAACAAACAAATGAGAGGTGACCTTAATTCAAGTTCACTTATGACCAATCTACGGCGCGGGACCAAGAGTCAATGCGATTAATTTTCAAAAACCCTTCTCGAGGGCTTTTTGATTTTTCCTCCCGAGAATTCGGAGCTCAATGGCCCTAAAGTTTCAGCAGGAAAACAAGGGGAGTTTTGTTTGTTTTCCCGTCGGTGCGGCAAGCCGCCTTCCCAAACTTGCAAACACCACTCTCCTAAAAGCAGAGGTAACTGCAGGGAACAAAGTTTCACTTGGGAGAGCTGCCAGCCAATAGACTCATCCGAGCGAGGGGCTGGGGCTCTGCGTTGACATCAAGGAAGCCACACAATTCCTTAATAAAGAATTTAAAAGAAATAAAAATTTAAAAACCCAACAACTAGTTTCCGGTGCTGACTCAAGTATGCCTAACACCGAAAAGCCACGGACTTTCCTTTTTTAAAAAAAAATTCTCCAAAGTTAAAAATTAAAACAAATCCCGTTGTTGTCTGAATGCTTCACCCCCCTCCAAGTGGGTGAACAAACCTTGCCATGGGCACATGCCCTGAGCTCTCGGGACCTGGCCTTGGAGCGAGGTGGGAGAGTGGGGGGGAGGGCTGCAAGCGGAGGCCTGGGGGTGGGGGGTGGGGGGCCCAGAGGCTGACACCTAGGACGATGCCCGCTTTCACCGACCTTCAAAAAAAGGGCAAGAATTTACAGGGGTCCGCAGGGCTCGGAGACGCGGCGGGGTCCGACCCAAGCCAGGCGCGAGAACGCGGCCGCCACGGGATGCGACGATGCCAGGAGCCAAAGTCCGCCGGGACCCAGGCCCGGAACCCCGAGCGCGCGGCCTCGGGCCCGGGGGTTCCCGCTCCGGGAGGAGAAAGCCACGCCGCGGCGGGAGACCCGAGGCCCAACAGCGGCGAGAGAGCGGGCCGGGCCAGGGCGAGCGCCGCCGCCGCACTTACCGTTCCCGAGGGCGCCCAGGCACACAGACACACGGCCCCGGTCCGCTGCGGCCGCCGCTTTCACCCACCGGCTCCGCTCACGCGCGCAAGCACCACCCAACCGGAAGCGGCTCGGCGCCCCGCCCCTATCCGCCTCGCCGGCGGCCTCTCGACCAACCACCAATAAACCCGCCGCTGACGCTTCGCTTTCCCGGACGGCCATTGGTCCCGCGATCGCCTAACGGGGATTGGCTGGAAAGCGCCACGTCCCCGCGAGCGCGCCGAGCTGCGTGGACCGGATTCCCGCCCTGCTCCTGTTAACTGGGCGTTTGCGGTGGTGGCGGGTCCCGTCCGCTGTACTGCTGGGGGCGTGTGGGCGCGGCCCAGTGGCCGCCACGTCCCTGCTTGCAACGTGTGACTCGGCCTCGTTAGAGCTTAGTAGTGAACCAACCTATTAGTTATTTTAAAGCCCACCCGCACCCGCGGTCGAATTAATCGGACTGTCCCAGCTTCTCTCTCTAGCCCCCGGGTGGGATGGATGAAACCTAAACCTCAGGATGCTTTTCACTGTGGCTTCAGTGTTGATTTCCTCTTCCATTGCTCTCTCCATGTCTTGACACTAAGCCACCATCAGACCTCATATTTGACCTCTCACCAAGGGACCTCCACGTCTTAAAACAAGCTCTTTCCTCAGATTTGTCTAGAAATCCTGGTCTAGAGAAATCCGGTTAAGACGTGAGCTGGAAAAACCTTTCCCGTTCCTCTTATTTGCCTTTACTATGTTTCCCCAACAAACCAGCAAGCGAGGCAGCAAACGCAAAACTCTACTTTTATCCATATGAGCTCAGTTTGGATAGCTAAAGTGGTTGTTCTGTTTTGTTTTTGGTTTTTGAAGAATTGCAATTTATTAAACAAAATGTAATCACTTATTTGTTCTTAGATACATGTGCATTAATAAAACCTGTTGATGTAAAATCAAAAATTCCCGGTATAAAACTGAGAGGTTTAAAGGTTTTTAACCTAGGATAGAGTAAATTGCATGGTCCGCCAATTGCTGATTGGCAATTTAGCGCTTTGATTTTCTGGGTACACCTTTGCCTTATTCATTCTTCACCTATAATACAATGCAGAGAGAGAGAGAGAGAGAAAGCACTAGAGAGAGCGTACTAATGTGCATGTCCTGGAAATGAACCAGGAAATCACTAAGTTCTTTTCATGTCATGAAGTTTTATTGTTTTAGAACCACACCCTATAGTGCTCAGGGTTTATTCCTGGCTCTGTGTTCAGGGATAACTCCTAGATGGGCTGAGGGCGCATATATTGTGATGCAAGGAATAGAACCAGGGTCAGATGCATGCAAGATACCACCTTACCTCCTGTTCTTTCTGAGTCAGTCATGAAGTTTTAAAGAGTGCTTGTTGAGAGTTCCTGTTTGCAATACAGACAGAATATAACTTGATTGTGTTCTCAGCACATCAAGCCTCTATATGTCAAAATCCAGTAAAGACAACCAAGTTAGCTTGCTATTTAAGTACCAGGAAGAGAGATTGAGACCTAAGGCTTCTGGAATTAAATGGAGTCACAGCAATCTTAGGCGGATCCCAGAAAGTATTTTCTAGGGGATGACTCAGGCTGTATCAGGAACTCCTGAATGGATTGTTTGGTAAAAGGATTAAGAGGAACAAGGACAAGTGGGGGATAGTGTTGTTAGAGGGCAAGGAAGGTTTACTAAGGAGCCTGCCCATTAAGGGAAAGCTTGTTTGGTTGTTTCTTTAGGCAATGGAGGGGCTTAACAATTCAAGGAACCTGAACAGAAGGTAGTTGGGATTGTGGGTGGCCTTCTAAAGGTTTCTAGACTGCAACTGGGGAACTGACATCACTGGGGAAAAACCCTGAGCATCCATCCAGGAATAACCCTTAAGCACCAGCCTGGTGTGGCCTAAAACACAAAATGAGGTTTCTAAGTTTGCCCTTCCATAGGAAGTGGCATGAGATGGATAGGGTTTCCTTCAGGTATTATCCATAGAGCAGGATCTCTTTCTCGAAGTTAGGTACTGTGCTAAGTGCTGGTCCAGCAACCAGGATTAAGATTCCCCTTGGGAAACTACAGCCTCCTGGGAGAGCAAACCTTCCTGGAAGGTCTTGGAACAGGACTTAAACTTTTTCCATTCGAGATCCCTTTTGGTGTGAGAACTATAACACAGGTAAACATTTTCAGAGTCCCTTTGGATTCATGATGCAGTGGATTTGGAATTGATGCTGGTCCTTGGGCACTCAGGAAACTTTTACTGGAGCCAAATGTTTTGTGACTCTCTTTCCTCCCCCCACCTCCACTTCAGTTACAGGACAGGTCTCAATCGACTGTTTAAGCAGCTCTTAGAAAAAACTGGATAAGGTCATTGGATAAGGGCATGAACTTCACTTAAATATGAATATTACAACATGTGAAAAGAAGCCCTGGTCTTAGTGACTACCTTTTTAATGAGAGGAAACTGGGAGAGTGAGCTATATAAGTAGGAAGAGAAGAAATGAAGTTCAACAGTTAATCTAAGGTGATGGCAGAACATCTAAAGGAATGATGTTGGTCAGCTGGCCACTGGTGGAGTAATTCAGAGCTAAAAGACTCGTAGAGGAGGACCTTGAGGGGTAACACACAACAAATGTGACCTCAGATACCCCATGCCCATCTAGCTCTGGCTTCCGTCAAAATAGCACTGAGGGACTTTCTTTTAAGATGTTAGTCTCGAAAAGTGGGTGTTCTTCAAGCAAAGTTCAGATGGAGATATTGTGTGCCAGACACTATTCTAGTTATTAGGAATCGAACAGTGGACAACATGGACCAATTCCCTCATGGTACTTTATTCTGATAGGTAGCCAACAACACGAAGCAAATGCACAGCATTAGGAGGAGAGCTGTAAAGAAGGAGTGGAGGCAGGAAGAACAGGGAGGTGGGGCCTTTTAGGAATAGCACTGCAATATTCAGAGGGTCATTGGTAAAGGAGAGGATGACATGTGAGTCAACACTGGAAAGTGGTAAAGAATATTTCAGGAAAAGGGAACAGCAAGGGCAAAGGCTGAAGCAGAATTTGGAATTTGAGGAGTGGCGGGAGCACAGATCAAACAGAAAGAATAGCCTTTGGACCATTTTAAGGAAATTAGCTTTTATTATGAGGGAAGTGTGGAAGAGACTGACCAAGTAACAATAGATTCCTCTTTACCCTGTAAATGCAGCTGGACTATTTTCCCCAGCATCACACACAGTGCAGCCATGTAACCAAGTCCTGGCCAAAGAAAGAGGAAGCAGAAATGTCGTCTACTTTTCCAGCACTGGCCACTGGCCACACAAACCTATCTTGTCTGATTCTCCAGGCCTGCCCGCTCTCCCTCCCTCTCTTCCTGTCTCCCTCTCTCTCTCCTCTCTCTCTCTCCCTCTCTCTCTCTCTCTCTCTTTCTCTCTCCCTCCCTCCCTCCCTCCCCACCCCCCCCCTAGATTGGCAGCATCACAGGATGAAACAAAACTAGATTCCTTTGGATGAGACACTCACCAAACAGGAGCATTCGTTTTGAACTTTTTATGAAAAGTGATTTGCTATGGGTTATTTCATGCCATAGACATATTGGGATTCATCTGACAGAATTACCTGAACCACTACAGATGGGAAGCTTGCAGTTCAATTATCGCTATATTCAGTGAAATGGGAGACTGGGTCATCAGAGATAACTGGGGGCTTGAGAAAGGGGGTTGTGCTTTGAAACAGCCGTTCAGTAGAGAAGACACAGAAGGGGGAACATGGAACAACCCCCAGGCAACATTAAGGGCCCTTGTTAAGACTTGTGATTGTGACTTTGAGGCGAGATAATATGTCATATCCCTAGGCATGTGTGGTGGCACAATGCAGGCATGGAGTGGGAACTAGTCAAGCGAATCAAGTTGTAAACACACAGAGGGGTCGAGTGTATGTGCAGTGGTGTAACAATGAGCCCAAAATCTAGGTTGGAGGGGGAGGAGGAGGATGTGGGGGTCAACTCTTGGTGATACTCATACAACCAGTTGGACTATTCAGTCTCCAGAGGCACAGTGCTGTTTGGGACTGGTGGTACTGGGATCTACCGGGGCCACACTTAGCAGTGCTGGGGGAAGACATGTGTGTGATGCTGGGTTCTACATTTGGTCCTGGTGCATTCCAGGCAGTGTGTCCCTGACCACTGAACTTCTCTCCCTGGCCCATCTTAGTGTATCCTAATACCTCAATAGGAGATTAGCCTAATACCGAAATATTAGGTATAATACCTAATATCTAACAGGAGGTGCCTAAAACAAGACATCTTCAAACATTTCCAGTTGGAAGGTTGAGTCACTTATCTCGAATTACTCAATGTTTGACGGGGCCCTTTTGTTTTGGACCCCACCAGGCAGTGCTTGGGAGCTTTTCTTGGCGTGCTGCTTGGAGGACAATGGGGTGCTTGGGTAAAACATGGGCCTCCGGCACACACAGTGTCATACTAAACCCTCCGACCTGTCCCCTCTAGCCCCTAGACTGTTTTTACTGGATATGAAATGGTGTGCATCTTAAACAAAGCAGCCGATCCATGGACTGTGCAATGAGTCACAACCTCAATATATGATCTTCTGATTCTACCTCTACTGAGCCTAGAACCTCTAGTTTACCTATGATCAAACCTCTGAGTTTGCATTTCCTCTTTGAAATCGCTGATATGCACCAAAGAGGTGTTCCAACATTTCAAAGGATATTGTCATATACTAATGAAATCAAGCTGGTATTTGTAGTGCTGAAGCACTGTAGCACTGTCATCCCGTTGTTCATCAATTTGCTCGAGTGGGCCCAGTAACGTCTCCATTGTGAGACTTGTTGTTACTGTGTTTGGCATGTCAAATACGTCACAGGTAGCTTGCCAGGCTTTGCCATGCAGGCGAGATCGGTAGCTTGCTGGGTTCTCCAAAAGGAATGGAGGAATCAAACCTGGCTCGGCCAGGCCGGTCACATGCAAGGCAAATGCCCTACCGCTGTGCTATTGCTCCAAGCACTTAGCAAATAAGAGAAAAATCCCCTCTGTCTCCCAACAACATGTCCCACTACCCTCCCCCAGGAACCTTTTCACAGCCGCAACCCAAACCTTATGAAGAGGGGGCTAGAGCGATAGTACAGCTGGTAGGGAGTTTGCCTTGCATGCGGTCGACCCGTGTTCAATTTCCAGCATCCCATATGGTCCCCCGAGCACCGCCAGGAGTAATTCCTGAGTGCAGAGCCAGGAGTAACCCCGGTGCATTGCCGGGTGTGACCCAAAAAGCAAAAATAAAATAAAATAAAATAAAAAACCTTATGAGGAAATCCCGGGTGGGGTGAGGGTGGGGTGCTGAACCTTAGTTGGATCCCTGACATTCCATATAATCCCTCCAGAAGTGATTCTTGAGCTCAGAGCCAGGAATAAACCCTGAGCACTGCCAGGTGTGTCCTTCCCTCAACCCCCAACACCAAAAAAAAAAAAAAAAAAAAAAAAGGAAAAAGAAAACCCAGCAAAACCCAGGGAGGGAATGAACTAAGGAAGAAGGTATAAGCTTGAATTAAAAAAGAGGAACTGACAAGGCAAATTGGAAAAAGGAGAAATTTAAATAGAGGCCTAGATTGGAATTCTTTTTTGGCCCCGCATACTTGTCCAGAGTTATAGGGAAGAAAACAATTTTTTTTTTTTGGGTATCTGGCCTTACTTTCAAGTTTCCAATGAGATAAATAGATGCTTGGCGAGGCATGCCTCTGGTGGGTTTCTTCTCTCGTCCTTTTCAGCTTCTCGCCCAAGACTCCTCTGCACCTCTCTGTGTATTTCTCCTCTTCCGCTCTCTGCCTTCCTCTTCACCTCTGTTTTGCTTTCTTCCTCTACTTCCCTCTGCTCCTGATTCCCTTCTTTCCTTTCCCCCATCTCCCGGTCCTGGTTTTCTTGTGCTGGGTGCTGAGGTGGAGGTGAGGGGTGGCAGTGTAAGGAGCAAACACAAAGGCATGTATTGGAATAACGTCGGACTAATGTTTCTCTTCCGGAGTCTTGGGCCCAGGTTGTTGTCCAAGAAAAGGCACTGCTATCAGCATAAGATCACTTGTTTCTTCTTTACTGCGCTCTCTCCGCCCCTTCCTTCCACGAGTCCCTCAGAAAGCTGGATGTTGCTGTGTGGCATAGGTGAGGGCCTCATGGATTCGTCGCAGTGTGAATGGGCGGCTCAAATAGAATTTCCTGGTGGTGCAAGAGAGAAAAATGTCCTATAGGTCATCAGTGGTTTCAAAAGCTCTTCTGTGAGTATACTGATAGTTAATTTTAGAATTTCCAACTATTAATGATCTCAAAAGAATTCAAGATTAGTAACATTTTGCTTTAGAAAATATAAAGCTGGGAGGCTGGAGCAATAGCACAACAAGTAGGGCTTTTGCCTTGCACACGGCCGACCCAGGTTCGATTCCCAGCATCCCATATGATCCCCTGGGCACCACCGGGGTAATTCCTGAGTGCAGAGCCAGGAGTAACCCCTGTGCATCGCCAGGTGTGACAGAAAAAGAATATAAAGCTGGGGTCATGTGATAGTTCAGCAGGTAGGGAACTTGCCTTGCACACTTGCATGCAGGTTTAATCCCCAGTACCCCATACGGAACCCTGAGCCCACCAGGAGTGATCCTTGGGTGCAGAACCAGGAAAATACCCTGAGCATAGTTGGGTGTGACCCAAAAACCCAAAAAAAAAAAAGAAGAAAAAGAAAAAATCCATAAAGCACTCATAACTTTTTTTTGGTTTGTTTTCATTTTCTCTGCAATTTTATTTTATTTTATTTTTAAATTTTATTTGGTGCGTGGGGTGGGGGGAGGGGGTTGGGGCATAGCCAGCAGTGCTTAGCGGCCATTCCTGGCTCTGTGCTCAGAAGTGACTCTTGAACATACTAGAATGACTATACGCAAATGCTGGAGATTTAAACTGGGGTCAGTCACATGCAAGGTAAATGCCTTATCTCCTGTATTATCTCTCTGGCCCTCTTTTAAAATATTTATTTCTCTTATTGAGGTCTCATAGTTTACAATAAAAGCTATTTTAGGGGCCAGAGCGATAGCACAGCGGATAGGGCTCTTGCCTTGCATGCAGCTGGCCCAGTTTCAATCACAGGATCCCACAAGATCCCACAAGCATTGCCAGGAGTGATTGTGATTCCCGAGAGCAGAGCCAGGAGTAAGCCCAGAGAATCGCTGGCAATAGCCTCTAGCCTCCAGTCCCCCTTCCCCAAAAAGTTGCTTTACAGTTTTAGAGAAACTACACAAGTCGCTCCACCAGGATATCAAGATGCCTCCCCCGTTAACCCTCCACCCGTTCCTTCCTCCCACCCATGCCCCTACCCCCAGCTTCCTTAGTTCCCAATTTCTATTCATGTCTCAGGGTTTGTTTGCATTGAGAATAGTCTAATCCCTTTTTCTGTTTCTTTATATTCTGCATGTAAGCTAAATCATCTGGTATTTAATCTACTTTCTCTCTCGTTTCACTAGCATGATACCTTCCAATTTCATTCAAGTTGCAACAAACTGCAAGATTTCCTTCTTTTCTTGAGTAGTATTCCATTGTGAACATACCATAATTTTTTATCCACTCATCTGTTGTTGAAAACTTGGGTGATTTCCAGATCTTGACTATTGTAAATAGTGTCGTGATGAAAATAAGTATATACACATCTTTATGGATTAAGGGTTTTGTGTTCTTAACTTCTTCAGGGATTGATCAGTTGGTCAGTTGAAGGGGCACAGGAAGGAGTTAGCATATATTATGCGGATAAAGATGGATGTATGAACATATGGATGGGTGGATGGATGGATGGATGGATGGATGGATGGATAGATGGATGCATGGTCTTTGGAGCAAGGAGGATAAGAGCTAGGTCCCTTGAGAGTTTAAGTGCCCCCAACTTCCTTTTGATTAAATTAAATTAATTAATTAATTTTGCTTTTTTGGTCACACTCAGCACAGGGGTTACTCCTGGCTCATGCATTCAGGAATTACTCCTGGAAGTGCTGGAGGACCATATGGGATGCTGGGATTCGATGCTGGATATGATGCTGGGATTTGATCCTGGGTCGGCTGCATGCAAGGCAAACGTTCTACCCGTTGTGCTATCACTCCAGCCCCCAACTCCCTTTTGAGCATAACTCTTTCCCTTTGTCACAGAAGTCTGGGACTCCCTAAGAGTTGCAGAAAGGAAAAGATAAAACCTGCTCTCCACCTCCTCAAAGGACCAACAGAGTCAGCATGGGCAGCACTTAGTACCCCCTGGCCAGCAGAGAAGGCAGCTCTCCCACCATGGCAGGATCAGCCCCTCCAGTCACTTGAGGAACTCCTGGCACCTCTGGGGGACACTGGCAGAGCCACACTTAGGGTTTCATTCAATCTGACTGGAGGTAGAGAAGAGCCGGGCAGTAGCAGAGAAGGCTAAGGGGTGGCCATGGCTGTCCCATTCCCACTCCCAGCCTTGGCTCTGGGCCCGTGCCTGAGGCGGGAAGCTCCACATCTGCTCTTTGAACCCCACCTTCACCATACCTATTAGTGGGGTCAGCCTTGGCCCTGCGTAGGCTGCTAGAGTGCTGAGGAGGGAGAGGGGCTGTGGCCCGGAGGGGTTTTCTCTTTCCCACTCTCCATAGGTGAATGAATCCCTCCAGCTGAGGATGCGGGTGCATGGGATGCTGTCTTCATCAGGACCATCTTTTTCAGGGTCTAGAACAGAAGAGATTTGTACATTAATTCACAGGGCCCTTGGGTTACGGTCAACATAGGTGTGTGTGTGTGTGTGTGTGTGTGTGTGTGTGTGTGTTGGGGGGATGAGGGGGCAGTGCTTGTTACGTGCTTTGCATGGTTCCAGAGAGTTCCATGTATTCATGCTCTTTCCCCCAGTACAACCCTGCTCACTGTGTTCCAGGAGGTGAAGTCACTTGTCTCTAGTCAGCTGACAAGGAGGCAATGCAAGATTTCAGAACCAGTGGCCTGGCCTTGTTACCACACCACATGCACAGACATTGACAGGGGATGGAGCAGACCAAATGGCAAAGAGGGAACCAACGCAGCTTGGAGAATGTAGGCGCATGGATGTGTCTAGGAGATTCTTCTGGTTAACCCAGCAATGCCTCCAAACCCAGATAGCCTGAAGTCAGGGTTTGTTTTAGGTTTATTTCACTTTAGTGACTCAAATGTTACCTCACAGCCTAGAATGGTGACCTCCTAGTCTTCAACTGGGGGCATATTAGAAATGCATTTCCCATTTCCGGCCAGTCAGACACTGAGTCAGAGGTTGCATTTTCTGACTATGGACACATAAAGGATTAAGACGTGTTGCAATAGGCCACCCCGCCCTCCAATGGGGAACGAAAGTTTCCCAAAAGAAGGTTCACACAGGGAAGCTTTGCCAGGTGGTTTTTGCCAGATGCAATTCTCTTTCTCTTTCTCTTTCTCTTTCTCTCTCTCTCTCTCTCTCTCTCTCTGGCTCTCTCTCTCTCTCTCTCTTTTACTCTCTCTGAAGCTAGGGTGTGACTATCCTTCCAAATGGAAAGAGAACACTCCCAGATCCACAGTGGAGAGGGGCTTCCTGAGCTCTGAGGAAACAGCTGAGTCTGGGAGACATATTCCATATTCCAGGATGAGCCACTGTCATATCAGTGCAGGGGCAATTTTGGTGCAAGGTGTGAAAGTTCCTTTGATCCTAGAAGTCTGGTGACTCTTCTGAAATTCTAGCTGTTCTCTTAAGTGCCAAGAATAGCACTGTAGCACTGTCCTCCTGTCCATTGTTCATTGATTTGCTCAAGGGGGAACCAGTAACATTTCCATTGTGAGACTTGTTGTTACTGTTTTTGGCATATCGAATATGTCACAGGTAGGTTGCCAGGCTTTGCCGTGCGGGCAGGATACTCTCAGTAGCTTGCCAGGCTCTCTGAGAGGGGTGGAGGAATTGAACCCAGGTTGGCCGTGTGCAAGGCAAACACACTACCCGCTGTGCTATAGCTCCAGCCAAGCCCAAGAATAAATTTGAAATTGTCTCTCTTTCTGCTTTATTCAACCATAACATCATGGAATATGGCATGTATGTGTATGTGTGTTTGAATGTATAGAAATAGAAATAAAATGGGGCCAGAAAGAGTATGGTGGGTAAGGCATTTCTTATGCACACAGCCCAATAGAGTTTGATCCCTGGCACTGCATATGGTCTCTTGAGCCCTGCCAGGAGCAATCCATGAGCTTAGAGCCAGGAATAAACCCTTAACACAGCAGGGTGTGCCCCAGCCCTCAAAAGAAAAAATTCACCTTTGCATTATCTGGTAACATCACACAACCAAGCATTGATAGAACAAACATGGTTCATCATGAAATCTATTCACCATTTGGAACCAGAGTTGTGACCGGCAGCCCGAGTTTGGTCTGAAGATTTGTTTGTCCACTAATGTTGGTCTATCATGAGCTTTCATTTCCTTTTTAAATGGGGCAGGTGGGATGTCACGTAAAAATCCAGACTTTTAGCTTCTACTGAAAAATTAGTGTATCCGACAACACTGGACCTGTGTTCCAGCAGGGCACCAATTAAATGAAGTCTTAGTGGAAACTTCCACTTTTCTCTTTGCCACTGTCCCCACCGCTCCCTATTGCCTCTCAATGCTAAAAAAAATGTCAACCCAGATGTTATCTTACTTACAATAAAGCTGAAAGAAATGTTAATAGTTTCTTATCACTGTGTCATCAGGTCTTTTTACCTATTTTACTCCCTGTAGACAATAAGCCCATTTAGCGCAAGTCAGTGGGTAGGAAGGTGCCCCACAAGCACCTGGCCACCAAGGCAGCACGCAAGAGCATACCAGCCACGGGTGGAGTGAAGAGGTCGCACTGTCACTGTTCCGACATGGTGGCACTACATGAGATCCGCCAGCTGCTGTTCCCGTGGCTCACGTGTAGGACTTCAAGACCAACCTGTGCTCCCAGAGCTCAGGCATCACAGTGCTGCAGGAGGCGTGTGAGGCCTACCTGATGGGGCTCTTCGAGGACACCAATCTCTGCACATCCCCCACTAAGCGTGTCACCATTATGCCCAAAGACATCCAACTTGCATGCCACATCCATGGAGGGAGAGCATAAAGTTTATGATGCTAAAATCTCAGGGCTGGGACAAATGGAGACGCTACTGGCACCCGCTCGAGTACTTGATGATTAACGGGATGACAGTGACAGTGACAGTGACAGTAGACGATTGAGTTCCTAGTTTCTGGTGTGGGGCAAATTGGCAAACTGCCCTGGGATCTTTATAGCATCTTTCAGTGTTTAATGCAACACGATATTCTAGCTGCCTCATGAGCCAATGTGGAGGAACAATTTATTAGTGGTGTGGTCCAGGTTATTTTTCGAGCTCCTAAGGGATTTGTAGCACTGAACTTTCTGCTATGAATAATTCAGAAGCATCGAAAAAAATAGAATCAGTCAATGAAACAAGACTATAAAGCCAATAGGAAAGGAAGTGGAGATTTTGTTTCCAAGGAAGCTTCATCTGGACAGGAAGGTATTGGGAAGCCTCTCTGGATGGACAGGGAGGATTCTGAGTGGAGGGAGTACTGTGGGGGAGGGATCTCCTACATCCTTCCCTGAGCTGAGTTTGACTGGAACAGCAGGGCTGGGCTGGAGAAGATGATGGAGAAGACATATGGGGGAGGCTCACACATCATCCTGCATGCCAGAATGAATGGGCTTGGGGGACACTGAACCCACAGCTAGAGAGCCAGCTGCTGTTCCTAGCATGTGCCCTTCTCCCCCCCTCCCCATCCCCCCACTGTCTCCTCCCAGAATGTCCTTCCTCATTTGCCTCAGCCAACCCCCTTGTCTTCATGATCTGTGACTTGGCACGCCGCACCCCTAGGATTTCTGGAGGGAAAGAAGACTCATGTCCTTGTGCTCCTGAGACACCCCAGGCTTAAGAGCTCTGAATGTTGCTGGAAGGAGAGGTTTTATAAATTGGGGATGTGCCCACCTGACCGCTCTGATTTATAAGCTCCTACAAAGTGGTGCCATGTCTTTCTTTGGGGTGACTCCAAGACTTACAGCAGTGTTTGGCTTTTCCTGCCAAGGGCACAATGCCTGCTTTTAAATGATCCGACCAGGAAGACAATACTGTGATCGTCCAGGCACGAGGTGACAGGGATTTGGGCAGAGGAGGGCTTGTGGGAGCCAAAATGAAGTCAAGAATAGAAGTGGGTTTTTTTCTTCTTTCTCTCTGTTTTTTTGTTGTGTTTTGTTTTTGTTTTTTGGTTGTTGTTGTTTTTTTAGGCCACACCTAACCATTCAGAGCTTATTCCTGGCTCTGCGCTCAGGGGACCAAATACAATGCTAGGGATTGATCCTGGCTTGGCCACATGCAAGGTGAGCACCTTAACCCAGAAACATTTCAAAGAAAGGAACTGGTAGGTTAGCTTGGCCTCAGTGCCAAATTGACTGTCGTGTCCAGCAGTACAGAGAAAATGAGCCCAAGGCAGAAAGCAGGATGATGAGTCTAATGGGAGAAAGTCAGGATGGGGGGGCTGGGGTGTGTGTGTTGGGGTGGGTGGGTGCATGTGTGCATGCACACATATGTGTTTCTTAGTTTCTTTACTTAGTTACTCTGCAGAGCAGAAAGTTGTCGTTCCCCCCCCCCCCCCCAGGGGGAGAGCCCTATGCCCTCCTTACCTGATCTGTCCTCCTTGGTCTTGTTCTTTTTGCAGCTCCTGGAGCTCCAGCCATTTCAGGATCAAGGAAATGAAGGACAAAACAAATGAAGGACAAAACGAAAAGAAAAGAGTACAGCATGAAACTCAGCGCCAATCTTCTCTCCGCTTACAATGCATGTGATGCCAAAGCTTTAGAGGTATACATGAATATGGATAAGGCCAGCTGTGGTGCTATGGGGAGGGTGTGATGGCTTTGAAAGTACCACGGGGAAGAAGCAGGGAAAGGGAGAGGAGGTTAGGAATTGCAGAGCCCATGTGGTCCGTTTAGCTGAGAAGTGGGTGGGGGTCCCATCTGTTCGGACCCGTGTCTCGAATTTATTTGCCACTTATTTTATTTGCTGTGAGTTGCACGGTGTTGCCGGTGTATAAAAACGGCTATGATTGTCACCAGAATGAGAACATGCCTAAATTGAGGAGAAAACGCTTCACTCAGGGCTTTGTCTGGGGGAACCAGAGAGAAGAAACTAAAAATACTCTAGAAAAAAAAGTCTCTACAAGGCAATTACTGAACTAACAGTGAGGCAGCAGCTAAGTCCCTCCTGTTTCTGATCCCCTCGGCTGCCATAGATTCCTGCACTCACTCTCCCTCGCTCCCATCGGCTGTCACTGCCACAGCCGGTGTGACCTTTTCAAAGTGTAAATTGGATCGTGCCGCCTTGCTGTTTAAAATGCCAAGACTTTCATAATACTTCAAGTCTAAATTGCTTCTCCCAGGCCCTGCCTGACTTGGCCCCTGCCCACTTCTGCTAAGAGCCTTCTACCCTCAATCCTTCTCTACTGACTTTTCTTCCTGGATCAAAATGATGTCAGTCCTATGCGGGGACGGCGGGGGGGGGGGGGGGGGGGGGGGGGGAAACGTGCATATATGGCGGTACTCAGGGGCTACTTCCAGCTAGGTGCTGAGGGGTGCTCCTGGTGGTGCTCTGGGAAATAAACCCGGGCCTCCTGCATGCTCTCTCTCCTGCCCTGAGGCCTGAGTCTTATCATCATTTGTGTTCCCTTGGCCTAGCAATTCTTCACCTTTTATCTGACTACTGCTGGTTTCTCCTTCAGACTTTTCTCTGGCCTTCTGGAAATGCTCCAAGATTACGAAAGTTACAAAATCTGCTCCAGAGATTACCAGCAGGGCCCCAGTATCCTTTCTCTTCCCTCTCCGGGATTAAATCTCTAATTTTGTGTTGAGTACATGGCTATGTTGAATGGGTACCACACTTCCCAGACTCCCTTGACTTAGGATATGGTCAGGTGACTAAACCATGTCCAACAAACAGAAAATAAAGCCTTTTAAATAGCTACTTAAAGAACCTAGGATTGAACATGATGGCCATTCAATACTTGCATTGCAGACCACAACACCCTAAAGGAGAGGGAGAGTAAAAGGGAATGCGCCTGCCACAGAGGCAGAAGGGGGGAGGGTGGGGGGAATGGGGGGGATGAGAAGGATACTGGAAGCATTGGTGGTGGAGAATGGGCACTGGTGGAGGGATGGGTACTCGATCATTGTATGTCTGAAATGTAAGCACAAAAGTTTGTAAGTCTGTAACTGTACCTCATGGTGGTTCATCAAAAAACAAAAAAAAAATTAAAAAAAACCACCTAGATTTTAGCATTTTGAGACAACCAAATACTTCAAAATATTTCATTATTAAGAGTTTTTTGGGGGTAGGGTGAGGTGGGGGTAAAGTAAAGGGGGAAAAGGAGACCAGTTCTCTTTAACTATGTGACTTATTAGTTAGAAATTTCTTCATTAAAGAGCTCTATGAAATACAGGGTGACAACCCCAGCATAAAATCTTTTACATCAGGAAATTACCAGCATTTTTCTTTTGTTAAAAATTTAGTGCAGGGGACTGAGAGACAGTACAGTGGGTAGGGCGCTTGCCTTACACACCACCAAAAGGGTTCAATCTCCAGCACCCCATGTGGTTTCCTGAACCCACCAGGAATGATCCATGACCACAGATCCAGAAGTAAACCCTGAGCACTACACTGGGTGTGCCAACTATCCCTCCCCTCATCCCCCCCCCAAAAAAAACCCACGTCTTGTACTTTAACCCCAAATATGCAATAATATGAGTTAGTATTTCTTTAGTGCCTCCTTATTCAATCTACTGAGGAACATCCACAGCAGCAGATGGACACGAGCTCCTGTCTACTCCTGTACTATCGGGGCGGGTTTAGCACTATCATAATTTCTAGCTCAGACTGCTGAAAACTGGGATTCAGAAAACTTAAACAACAGTTGGAGCAGTGACTTGGGACCTGAGTCTGCATGAGGCTTTTTTGTTTGTTTGTTTGTTTTTGTTTTTTAAAACCCAGTGCTGCCCACTCTACCAGTTTTCTGTTTTCTGGTAATTCTCACTGGGGCCCCTTGGAGGGGAGCGGGTTGAGCTTTCCTCCCCACCCCGACCAGGGCTCCGGCAGCCGAAGACCTCCAGGACCAGCCACCACCATGCTGAGACCACTCTCCTCACACTTGAAGGTACCGGCAGAGGAACAAAGGCAAGCGGGATCCGGGGCCGAGATCTCCAAGCCTACTTGGATCGGAGCTGAGCATCCTCCACCCAGATCCTCCGAATACCAGTAGGCGGGGGTCACACCCACCAACTGGCCCTCTGGTGCCGTGTAATCCCATCAACGGCCAAGACTCAGAGACTATAAAAACCAGCTCCCGGAACCGCGCGGCCACATTTGTGGCCGCGCAACATCTTATTATGACATCTTATTATCTCATTCCTACTTTGGACAAACTGGCAGGCTACTGAATGTAGCCTGCCCACACGGCAGAATCTGGCAAACTCCCTGTGGTGTACCCAATATGCCAAATACCAGTAACAATGATGGGTCTCATTCTCCTAAAGAGCCTTGAATATAATCCCAGGGTTAGGATGAAGGAGACGTTACTGGGGTCTGCTCGAGGCAATCAACGAATAACAGGATGGTCGTGATTCGTGATTCGGTAATTCTCTATAAGAAACATTTTCTTTCAATATTGTTTTCTCTCTCTTCCTCTCTGAACTGTTGGTTCCCATTGAAAAAAAATATTTTCACCTTTTTGCATCTTTTGTGACATGTACTAATTTATTCCTATTCTCCCGTTTCTTTAAAACCACAAATCCAATTCCCAGGGTCTCTGGGTCCTGATTTATCGTTGCTTTGGCTAATCTCTCCCTGTGATATCAGCACTCCCAGCTGTCATTTTTTTATCACCCAGTCTTAAGACTCACCCCCAAACCATCTATATTTCTAGGGACAGTCTCTCAGGCATGGAGAAGAGAGTCCTGTTCAATGGAGCTTTCTAGAACAGATGATACATTTAGAAAACCATCCCCAAAGCCACATACAGTTCAAACAGGGGCCAGCTGAGTAGATCTGTGAAGTGAATGAATATACAATATTCGCCATCAATGTTTTAGTGATTTCTTGTAGGACTAGGAATCGGATTTAGATTCAGAAATGGGTTTGACTTCTCCATCTATGTCACTTTTTCTTTAATTAAAATTTTGTTTTAATGTTACTTTAGTGACACCCAGACATTCTGAGGGATTACTCATGGCTCTGTACTCAAAGATCACTCTTGGTGGGGCTCAGGCGACCTTAGGAGATGCTGGAGACCGAACCTGAGTCAGTTGCATGTCAGGCAAGCAACCTACCCCCTGTACTATTGCTCTAGCCAGCTGCTTTGAATTGTCGAATGGAATTCCTTCCCAGAGGCAAGCCTACTTTGCCTGCCCATGAAGGAGAACAGGACATAGATCACAGAAAAAAGTTGCCTTGTGTTGAAGATCAAGACAGGACAACGACTGGTGGTATTTCTTGCCCCTTCCTGGACTCTCATCAAGAGACTTGTTTTCTGATTTCACTGGCCAGATCATCTGGCTACAGACAAGGATGCCATACCAGCTTGATGTCAGTCATATACCTGAACTGGTTGCGCTGGTGCAAGTCAGCGAAAATCTGAGAGATGGCCTCACTCTCCCCTTTGGCCATCAGCTGCATGAGGCTCTCGCTAGGTCGGGAGGCTTGAAATTTCTTCTGTTCTAACTAGACGGAGAGAAAAAAGCAAAGCCAGGTTGTTAGAGCCTTCGGGTCTTTGGCATTTTTCATAGTCTAGACCACAAAGTGTTAAAATTCAAGATGGGCTGCCATGCCCACAGCTCAGAGAGGACAATCCTGAGATCATATCTGTGTTTATTGTCACAGTCATGCCTCAGTACCCCAAAGGGTTATATTGGCATGGAATACTTGAAGTAGAATTCGGTAGATGACTTTTATTTTTTTGGCATTTTGGGTCACACCCGGCAATGCACAGGGGTTCCTCCTGGCTCTGAACTCAGGAATTACTCCTGGTCGTGCTCGGGGGACCATATGGGATGCTGGGAATTGAATCTGGGTCAGCTCTGTGCAAGGCAAATGCCCTACTTGCTGTGCTATCACTCCAGTCCCAGATGACTCATTCTTATCAATGTATCTTAACATGTTCTCAAATAACACCTTAATGTTAACTGAAACAAAGCCTAAGTGACTTGGCTTTAAATGTAAGTGTAAGGGTGGACCCAAAAGTTGCTGTTGAAATGTAGCGAATGTGCGGAAGATTCTTTCTTGGGCATGGGATATGCCAGTGGTAGAGCGCCTACCTTGGATGCTTGAGGCTTCGGTTCCCAACATCGCTCCACCTCTCGGAGTGAGATCCCTGGCTCTGCTGAGGTGAACCTGGTGTCAGAAGCCACCGTGAGACCCTGGTCACACTGCAACAACAACAAAGGGAAGGGAAAGGAAAAAATTATTCCTCTAAGAAAAGGCATTTCTTTCAGCCCAATTTAGGACTGCTTTCCAGTTCTGAGTACAATTGCATTCTTGAGACTGAGGGTACAGCTCAGCAACTAGAGGTACATGCTTAGCCTATGCCAGGAACTTTGAATCCTGACATTAACATGACCCCCAGCACTGCTGGGTGTAGCTTGGAGGTCCCTGAGCACGTCTGGGACTGGCCGCAGGGCCCCCTTCTGAGCACTACTTGGGAGGATTCCAAATGATTTTTGTCCTCCTAGCTATGGTCCCCCTCAAGATGTCCGTTCTGAATGCTGTTCAGGTTTGTTCACTCAATCGCCCACTTGCTCAGGTGATACGGGGTGAAGTGGCCGCCTGCCTGGGGTCTATGCTGTAGCTTAAGTTAGTTTTATGCTTGTCAAACAAAAGAGGCTCAGTACAACAAACAAACAAAAAAAACAACTCAAGTGACTTCACTGGCAAATTCTACCAAATATTTCAAGAAGTGATGTGTAAATCCCCAACCGCAGGGTTGTGTAAACCCCTCACGCGAGTGGGGATTACACATAAAAGGGTGTTTGTGGGCTCTCCGGGCAGCGCTCTCTTGACGCCCGCGTTTGGTGCTCTTGAGTTGCTTCTCCACCCGGGAAGGCTGTTGCCTTGGACAGATGAAGGAAGAACAAGGGCCAAGCTGGCTGCTGATTAATTGACGTTTATTCAATCTCTCATCTCTCTCAGCTCTCTCCAACCCCCCCTCTCTCTCTCTCTCTCTAACCGCACAATTCTTTCTTCCCACTGTATCTATCTCCTCTATCTCTCTCTGCTGTCTCTCCCTCTCTTCGCTCCTTCTCCTTCAATCAATCAATCAATCAATCAATCCCTCCAACCAACATTCCAAGCCTTTCTACCCACAGCTCTTCTTTTTTATCCTCTCATCATGCCTCCCCACAGGAAGCGTGATCAAAAATGTTTTTCCAATCCTCCCAACCAACCTATAGCCCACAAGGGCAAAACGGCCCTTAAGATGTGTTTTTCCTCTCCTTAGACCTGCAACTTTATTAGTATCTTTACTTCTCCTTCCTCCCATCCAAGTACTAACCCAGGCCTGACCCTGCTTAGTTTCTGAGATCAGATGAGATTGGGCACGGAGCAATAGTACAATGGGTAGGGCGTTTTCCTTGCGAGTGGCCAACCTGGGTTGATTCCTCCACCCCCTCCCAGAAAGCCCGACAAGCTACCGAGAGTATCCCACCTGCACGGCAAAGCCTGGCAAGCTACCCATGACGTATTTGATATGCCAAAAACAGTAACAAGTCTCACAATGAAGATGTTACTGGTGCCTGCTCAAGCAAATCGATGAATGACAGGAGGACAGTACTACAGTGCTACTTCTCCTTCCTCATATTTACCATTCTGTATGGACGCAGTAATAGACACTTTTAGGCTTGTAGGGTGACTCTCCTGGGGACATCTTACCACAGACTCAGACTACAGTGCTCAGGCCAGATCAATCATTTCTAACCCCAGCAGGGTCCAAATCTAGTCACTACTTTTGGATTATGACAGGATTTGTCCATGACCAAGCTCTTAACTTATAATTAAGCAATTAGGGCACTTTGGCCAGGCCCATTTCGATGCCAGGGTAACTCATAGCTCACCGCTTGCCCTGGGTCCATCCAATCTTTCATCGGGACCCTGCTTTTGGGGATCTAGGAAGTAAGGGCAACTGAGGCTTAAGTCAAGAGAGCAGATGTCCAGGAGATAATATTATCTGGAGTCAATCAGCTACCAAGTCACAGGCTTGTCTTTTTAATTGTCTTCCTGTATCCATACAAAAAGCAATTGCTCTGAAATAACTAACCATGCAAAGGACATTAAGGAGAAGAGAAAGACAATATTCACAGGTCAGAGTCTGATCAGGAGACAAAGATAATTGACAGGGGCAATCAACAAACACAAGCTCCCAGGGAGGAAGGGCAAACCAATGTCATCCTACAAAGTGGTGATATAAATTCTTTGTCAACTGACAAAGCAGAGGAGGAAACACTACTTCAATCATCCAGTGAAGTTAACATGGATTCCAAAACCAGGATATTAAAAAGTTATCACAAGAAAAACTACAGATTAATATCTCTAATGAATGTTGATGCAAAATGACAAAGAGAATTCTATTGAGCCAAATTGAGAAATATGATTATACAAACTACCATGACAATTGAAATCTATTACAGGAAAATGAATTGCTTTAACCTCAAAGAATCAATTAGTGTGACACACTATCTATACAAAAGACAGAACTCATGATTATCTCAGTAACTGCATAAAAAGCATTTGACAAAAAAATCCAATACCTTTTCTTGAGATAGACTCTCAAGAAAGTATAGAGAGAGGCTGGAGAGATAGTATAGTGGGCAGGGCGCTTGCTTGTCTTGCAAATAGTCAACCTAGGTTCAATCTCCAGGGTCCTGTATAATCCCCCAAGACCATCAGGAGTGATCTCTGAGTTCAGAGCTGTGAGTAAGCCCTAAACACCATCAATTGTGGCCCCCAAAACCAAAAGAAAAAAAGAAAGTAGACATGTTAACATCTTAACATGTTAGGAGCAAACTTCTTCAACCTGATAAAAGATATCTACAAAACTCCCATAGTTAGCTTCAGATTTAATAAAAGGTTGTTTTCTGTAGGATAACATTGGGTTTGTCCTTTCACCCTTGCCGCAGGGAACTTAAGTGTATCGGGTTACACCTATCACAGTGCTCCCTAGTCATTCCCATTCCCCTGTGTTTATTTGTGAACTCTTCTCTGTGCTCTTCTCCCCAACCAGTTAATCATCTTTTCCCCTAATCAGATTTGTTAACTTGTAAGATCAGATCCTTCTTTTTTTTTTAAAATTTTTATTAGTGAAACACCATAAGGTACAGTTGTAGATTTGCAAATTTTTGTGCTTGGGTTTCGATTATACAATGATCAAATACCCATCCCTCCACCAGTGCCAATTTTCCACCACCATGGATCCCAGTATCCCTCCCACACCCATCCCCCCCATCCCACCCTGCCTCTGTGGCAGGGTGTTCCCTTTTGTTCTCTCTCTCCTTTTGGGTGTTGTGGTCTGCAAAAGAGGCATTGAGTGGCAATCATGTTCAGTCCATAGTCTACTTTCAACATGCATCTCCCCTCCTGGGAGGATCCTTCAAACACCCTTTATTTGGTGCTCCCTTCTCTATCTGAGCTGCCCTTTCCCCTAGAATGCCCAGCTGGCCTCGAAGCCATGGAGTAATCCTCCTGGTACTCAAGATCAGATCCTTCCAAGGACACTGAACTTGTATTGTAAGTTAAATATTGCTTTTCCCCATCCTTTTGCATAGTTTACTTTAAAGCAATGTCTTTTTGGTATGGACACAGGAAGACAGTTAATATGGTTTTTGTAACTTGGGAGTTAATAGACTCCAAATAATATTCACTCCTGGACATCTGCTTTCTAGACTCAGTAGCCTTTAGTTCCTAGCACCCCAAAAGCAGGGTCCCGACAAGGGACTCACCTGATAAAAGATACCTACAAAACTCCCATAGTTTTGTAGGCAAGCTGTGAGCTACCCTGGCATCAAAATGGACCAGGCCAAAGTACCATAATACTTAACTATAAGTTAAGAGAATGGTCATGGACAAATGCTCTCATGATCCAAAAGTAACGATGAGATTAGGAGATCCTGCTGGGGTTAGGAAGACTAACCTGGCCCAAGGACCGTGGTCTGGAATGTATAGTGAGATGTCCTCAGGAAGAACCAAACTTTAAGTTTGATATATTTCTTACTAGATCGGAGTGATAGCACAGCAGGTAGGGCGTTTGCGTTGCACGTGGCAGACAGGGCCGACCCAGGTTCGATTCCTCCGTCCCTCTCGGAGAGCCCGGCAAGCTACCAAGAGTATCTCGCCCACACGTCAAAGTCTGGCAAGCTACCCGTGATGGACGTATTCGATATGCCAAACACAGTAACAAGTGTCACAGTGGAGATGTTACTGGGCCCATTTGAGCAAATCAATGAACAACAGGGAGGAGAGTGACAGTGATTTAAGTGGATTACTAGCTGGGGAAAGAAGAAAGCAATACACCCTGAATGGAGTCCCACCCTTGAGCAGATCTCCTAGTAATCTGGAGCAATCCCCTTAGATGAGATTTTGTCCTTGAGTTAATCTCCTGGAGGAGTGGCTTTACCTCTCTTTGTTGATTTGTTAATGTTCAACTCACCTTTGTATCACCACCCTACATGATTGCTATATAAACTAAGACTGTAAGATTGGAGAGGGCTCCAGAGAGAGAAGCAGAAAGGGAGTCAGAGGAGAATGGAGAGGAGATTGGAATAAACTGCAATTGATATTGAACAATCTGGCCCTTGTTCCTTCCTTCGCCTGTCCATCACCATTGGCCTCCCTGAGGTGGGGAAGCAGCATGAGACTACCGAACACAAGTGACAGGAGAGATAGAGCGCCCTGCCTTTAGAAAATATACAGTTTTCCCTAAGAGCAGGGACAAAGCAAAAATTGTCTGCTTTGACACATCTCTTTTTTTTTTTTAAAGATATCTTATTTATTTATTTACTTTTTGGGTCACACCCAGCGATGCACAGGGGTTATTCCTGGTTCATGCACTCAGGAGTTACTCCTGGCCATGCTCAGGGAACCATATGGGATGCTGGGAATCGAACCTGGGTCAGGCCGTGTGCAAGGCAAACACCCTACCCGCTGTGCTATCACTCCAGCCCCTTGACATATCTCTTAAGCATTTCATTGAAGGTTCTAGTTAGTGGAAAAGGTTCCAAGCAAACAAATAGATTCAAGGATGGAGAGTCAGTGCAGAAGGTAAGGTGCTTGCCTTGCACATGGTCAATCCGGGTTTAATGCTCATTACAGACCCCCAAGGACCAAGTGCAGAGCCTGGAATAAGCCCTGAGTACATTCAGGTGTGACCCCCCAAATCAAAACCAAACAAACAAATGGGTCCAGTGGGAAATAGTGAAATTTTCTTTACAGATTACGTAAATTTAGGTATATATGTAGAAAATACCAAGGAATCTACAAAAACTACTAATAAGCAAGGGAAGCTTAATATAAAAATATTTCTACATACTATCAATGCAATTCCATTTACTATAGTGCCCACAATAAAATATCTAGGAATAGGCTGGCTCTTCAAACAATCTTCTCCCCCTGAACACATACGTCTTCATTTCATATCCTTCAAAGTTTCAATAAAAACCTATATTGTTTCACCTCTCCAAAAGTATATATGCATATACATTTAGGAATAAATTTAACAAAGTAAATGCAGAACTTATATACTGTAAGCTATAAAATGTTGCTAAGGGAATATTTAAAAGATTGAGATAATTGGAAAGATACTCCATATTCATGTTCTGAAAAACTTCACATTATCAAAATGGCCAGTCTCTCCAAATAAATGTAATAAACCTCACATTTTCTCTGTTTAGGGGAGGGTGTTTGGGGGTCACACCTGACAGTACTCAGGCCTTTCTCCTGGCTCTATGCTGAAGGATCACTCCTGGCAGGGCTCAACGAACCATATTAGGGTGCCGGGGATCAAATCTGGATTGGCCACATGCAAGGCAAGTGCCTTACCCATTGTACTATCTCTCTGACCCCCAAATTTTACATTTTCCTTATCAAAATTCCAGCAGATTTTTTTTCTGTAGAAATTGGAAACCTGATTTTAAAATTGATACAAAAACACATAGGATCTAGAATAGCCAGACAATTTGAAAAAAAAAATTAGAAAGATTTCGGGCTGGAGCGATAGCACAGCGGGTAGGGCGTCTGCCTTGCACGCAGCCAACATGGCCGACCCGAGTTCGATTCCTCCGCCCCTCTCGGAGAGCCCGGCAAGCTACCGAGAGTATTTGATATGCCAGACACAGTAACAACAAAGTCTCCAATGGAGACGTTACTGGGCCCGCTCGAGCAAATCGATGATCAACGGGAGGGCCTTTTTTTTTTATATCACCCAATCTTAATACTTGGTATTATAAATTTACTGCAACTACTAGTAGTTGAGCCAGAGAGATTGTACAGAGGTTAAGTCCCCTTCTTTGTATGTGATCAAACCTGATTCAATCCTTGGCACCAACACATATGGTTTCCCGAGTACTACTGGAGTGATCCTTGAGCACAGCACCAGGGGTAAGATCTGAACATAGCCAGGTATTTCCTGCAAACTCACAAGAAGTATTCAGGATATCTTGACTACTTCTAGTAGTCAAGATATTCTGGATTTGGCATAAGAGGTGGCAAGCAGATCAATAGTTCGGGATTAAAAATCCTGGGCCAGATTGATAGCAGGTTAAGCCATTTGTCTTACATGCAACCAACCTAGGTTCAAACCTTGGAACCCCATATGGTCCCCTGAGCCTGCCAGGTGTGATCCCTGAGCACAGAGCCAGAAGGCAAGCCCTCAGTACTTCCAGGTGTGGATCCCACACCAAAACAAAGAAATACCCCACTAGATATTCATTAAAATAGTTTTTTTGGAGGGAGTTAGTTTGGACCATATCTGCACCTCACACATTCTAGGCATATGCCCCACCACAGAGCCCCACTTCCAGTCCCAGTCCTTCTTTTTATCTGGCATCACTTCTTTCACTTAATATCTTCTAGAGTTTATTCCTACGACGGTATTGGACCAATTATATGGTCCCATGTCTATCTGGGACTGATAGTCACAGACTATCAGTCACTGTCCTGTCACTGTCCTCCCGTTGTTCATCGATTTGCTCGAGCGGGCTCAGTAATGTCTCCATTGGAGACTTTGTTATTACTGTTTTTGGCATATCGAATACATCACGGTAGCTTGCCAGGCTCTGCCGTGCGGGCGAGATACTCTCGGTAGCTTGCCAGGCTCTCCAAGAGGGGCGGAGGAATCGAACTCAGGTCGGCCATGTTGGCTGCATGCAAGGCAAATGCCCTACCCACTGTGCTATCGCTCCAGCCCAGGCTATCAGTAACCCAGACCTTTTTGTTTCTTTGGTTTGAGGCCACATCTGATGGTGCTGTGTGGAGCTGGGGATCAAACTCAGGGGTCCTACGTGCCTAGAAGGTGCTCCAGTTCCTTTGAGCAAATTCCTCAATGTGGCGTGTATGTGTGTGAGGTGGGGTTTGGGGTGCTGGTAATGAAGTCAAGATTCACACATGGAAAGCAAATACTCTATCAATTTACACTTTTCCATGGCTGGATAATATTTTACAGCCACCGTCAACAGAAATCATATTTTGTTTATCCATTCACCAGTTGCTGGAATTTGGACTATTTTCAAGTTGGAGTGCTTATGAAGAATGATGCCACTATGAACTTCTGCGTACAGGTTTTGGCATGAATAATTCTTTCATTTATAATGTTTTGGAAATAAAATTGCACGTTCTGGAAATATAATTGCTGGGTCATATGGTAGGCTTCTGATAAGCTTTTTTTTTTTTTGCTTTTTGGGTCACACCTGGCTCATGCACTCAGGAATTGCTCCTGGCAGTGCTCAGGGAACCATATGGGATGCTGGGAATTGAACCCAGGTCAACCGCGTGCAAGGCAAATGCCCTACCCACTGTGCTATCACTTCAGTCCCTCTAATAAAATTTTAAAGAAACTGGCAAACATTTCCAAAGTAGCTACATGGTTTGATATTCTCCCAGGGGATTAAGTCTCTCTGTCTTCACCAACCCTGCTATTATCTGTGTTGTTTTGTTTGGGGGCCACACCTGGCGATACTTAGGGCTTATTCCTGTATCTGCACTTAGGGATCACTCCTGGCGGTGCTGGGGAAAACATATGGGTTGCCGGGGATCAAAACCAGGTGAAATGAATGCAAGCCAAATGCTGTACTTGCTGTACTATCACTCTGGCTTCATAACTGTCTTGATGAAAATGATTTTAGGGCCAGATAGTACAGGAGGTAAGATAAGTTGCCTTACACACTGCCGGCCATATCTTGAATCCCCAGCACCACATATGATCTCCTGAACGTCATCAGGGGCTTACTCCTGAGTATATAACCAGAACAGTCTCTGAGCATCATCGGTTATGCTCCTACCCCTGCCCCCCACCCCCACACACCTCCCCAATTATGGTGAATGCCCAGCTTCCCACATTTCCTGAGTGTGCTGAGCTAAGCACAGAATGGTGTCTGTTCCCCAGACTTTGATCAAACTCATCAGGGGCAGGAGCCCCTCTCCTTGGCAGACGCGTGGCAGCCCTCCCAAGACCCACACAGCTCCACCCTGGCCTTGGCTGGAAGCAGCCATCCTGCCCATTTACCTGGGAGTCTCCCGAGGGGCTGCAGCTGTTCCTGGGTACCAGGCAGTGAGTGACCAGAATCCTCGGGTCTTTGGTGGTGATGGACAGACCCTGATGCAGAATCTGCACCAGGCGGTTCCAGAAGTGGAACACAGCATCAGGATGGTCCGGGTGCAGCTTCAGGTAATAGATCTTCTCGGTGACGGTCCTTAGCCGCAGAACACGGTGTTGCCGGTCATACACCTGGAGCTCCACAAACTTCAGGGGGAGAATTCTGCTGGCAGAGGGAGACAATGGTGATAACCCTCCCTGGGGGCCCTAAAACTGGCATCTTCCTCAGACCTGAGGCTTTCGAGATTGGGGAGACCAGATTAACTCAGGACTTTGTTTCAAATACAGACCCCTGGGCTAGAGAGAGCACTCAGCCGACTGGAGCACATACTTTGCATGCAAGAGTCCTGGATTTTAGTCTTTGGCATTGCCTGCTCCCTGAGCATTGAGCCAGGAGTAGCCCCCTGAGCACTGTTGTGTGGACCTGCCAAAAAAATTAAAATGAAACTGCCAGAAGACAACTGTCTCCTTTCTAAGCACATTAATTTTTTAAATTTAATTTTATTTTTATAAAGTTGATCACAGTGATTTATTACTTTCAATGTTCCAACACCAATCCCATCCCCATTACTAAACCTTCCCACCACCCTTATTTCTAATTTTCCCAACCATCACCCAAGCCTGCCCCAATAGCAGGCCCTAAATGATTAATTTTGTGTTCTTGTTATGACTAATATGCTTAAAATGGTCAACAAAGATTTCCTTAAAAGAAAAGTAAAGGCCCTAAAAGTAGAGGCCCTCCCACTGATCATCGATTTGCTCGAGCGGTTTGCAGTAACTTTGTTGTTACTGTGTCTGGCATATCGAATACATCACGGGGAGCTTGCCAGGCTCTGCCGTGCGGGCGAGATACTCTCGGTAGCTTGTCGGGCTCTCCGAGAGGGGCGGAGGAATTGAACTCGGGTCGGCCATGTTGGCTGCATGCAAGGCAAACGCCCTACCGCTGTGCTATCACTCCAGCCCTCCTTAAAAGAAAATGTGTGAAAATTGTTATATCTCACCCTGGAGCCATTAAGTCCTTGCATAAGAGATCACTAACATGTTGTTACAGGTTAAGCCTTATGTGCTAATATTTTCTTGAGACTGATTGCCTTCTACTTGATATCCCATCCAATGGCATGTGCTGCTTTTGGTATATCAGTGCTAAACCCATATTTATGAGTCTGGGAAGTATGCCTGACTCTGTGTGTGTGTGTGTGTGTGTGTGTGTTGGGGGATTAGGCCACATCAGATGTGAGTAGCTACTTAAGAGCTACTCCTAACTCTGTGCTCAGGAGTCTCTTCAGGAGGTGCTCTGGCAATCATGTACTTTGAACCAGGGATCTGACTAAGGCTGGTTTAAGACAAGTGCCTTAGTCCCTGTTGATCTCCAGTCCCTGGAATCTGCATTTTCACCCTCACCCATCCTGCCAGGATTCTCTTGCTGGTTTTCCCTGAATCCTGGTGCTGGATAAGATTGCTGGGCCCCAGAGTTTCTCCGTTTCCTTTAGGAATGCACTGGGGGACCATCCCACCCCACATGCCGCCCGATCAGCTGGTCCATTCTCTCACCTTTCTGCCCCAGTGCTTCTTGCCAAAGGAGCTACCATAGAAGGAGTTGGCTTTTAGAGTGACACCGGTCAACGGGGCTGAACTCTAGTGCCGTATGTTGGCCCAGCACATAGTGGCAAATCCATCCCCAAGACCATGCCAAAAACGATGAGCTTTCCTAACTCCCAGGCTTATCTAGAGATTCTCCAGAGAGCCCAGTGATAACTGGAAGAGGCTCAAACATCAAAAAAGGGTTTGATGTCACTGTCTGCCAGAGAGACTTAGTTCCACTTTTTATTGGCAAGGAAATGGAGGGTGGCATTTATTTAACTTGGAGCTCAAAAAGGTGGGTTTAGCTAGTTGCATACTAAGAACACGCTGCTCTCTACCCATGCTCTGCTTGCTGGCGCCCTCCGCAGGCGCCTGGAGGCTTCCAGGGCTTCCCTGCCCCCCTCCCCACCCCCAGTCTTAATTCAGTGCTGATGATCGCCAATCAGCTCACAATGATGAATGGATGACTCTCTGCTTTCCCCCATTCCTGAGTTAGGGATCAAAGCAGCCCCAGCATTGGCTCATTCCACACCCTGCTTGTCCTTGGTCCCCACCTGTGTGGCTTTACCTCTTTAGGACGATGTTGGGGGCAGTCGATGGTCTGTTCCACGTCGGGCTCTGCCCCTGGGGCCATCTGACACTGGCCATGAGGAGGATGTTGGGAAGGGGCAGACAGGGCACAGAGGAGGTCACCCCGAGGGCCAAGGTGTAGGAGGCTTTGTAGATGTCAATCCAGTTGCTGCTCTTTTTCACCTGCAAAGCAGCCCCGTGCAGAGCCCACCCCCACCCCAGCATGATAAGGGGGAGCTTCTCCATTCACTGCACACTCGGTGATTCTTGGTTGGGGAAGAGAGGGGCTGCTAGTGTACTGGGGGGAGCCAGTAGCAATCTCCCAATCCCAAGTTGTGACAACCCAAAATGTCCCTCAGACATTGCACAATGATCCCCCTGGATTGAGGAAGCGGAACTGTGGCTTGTTGGGGAACTGCTTTCTGAAGCTATGTAGATGCTGGCACTGAGAAGAATGAGTCTTTCTAGTATTTCCACATGCTGCAAGCTGGGACTTCCCCTACCCGCCTCCCCATGAGTGATCAGGCCCCTTTCATTCGGGGGGGGGGGGGTCCTGGGCCCCCAGGTCAGTCTGGGCAAGGAAACCAAAATGCATAGAGAGCCTCTCCTGAACTCTGACCTCTTGCATTTGTACGGAATCCTCCACTCACTCCGGCCCTCTTTTCTCATGCCAAGGTTCAAGGTGCATGGGAACTTGGTACCAGAAAGCAGACAACTGCCCCTGCCCCAAACCTTACCCTCTCTGGGGATCCCCAACTCCAGTTCTCTGGCCAATCACTATTGCTCTTCCTAATACCCCCAAAGGGAGCCTGAAGAAAGGAGTTTGGAAACTCAAATCCTCTGCTCTGAGCGGAACATCCCAACTTCTGAGACCAAGGTCGGGGGTACAGCAACCAACTGTGGAGCTGTGCAAAGTCAGGGTGCCATGGGGAGCAGGCAGGGTGCGGGGTGGGGACTTCAGGCCAGATCCTGGCAGGCCCCAGCGCGGGCACGATTGCATCCTGAGGCTCAGAAAAACCGGGAGTTCCCTTCCGAGCACAGACTAGAGTACCTGGACAAAGTTGCTTTCGAACACCACTGAGTCAGGAAACAGGTTGAATTCTGGTGAGTGAAGCATCTGACAGAGCAGCCCCTCCTCCACACCCAGGCTCACACCAGGGTTTGGCTCCCCATCCACAGACAAGAGGCTCGTGAACTCTTCCCAGGCATTCAGGGAAGGGAAGGTTGGATAGGATCTTGTGACTTTCACCGTCTTCTTCAATTTCCACCATGTCTTTCTTTGTGAAGCTGATGATATCATATCTGCACATGCTCAGGGGCCCACTGCACACGTCTGTCCTGGGATCTCTCTCTCCCCTTCTGACTGGGGCAAGTTGACCAAGGCCTGGACCGCCAATCAGCTCACAATGATGAATGGATGACATCATGAAAAACCAGGGCAGGCCTGCAGGAAAGGGAAATGCAGACAGGCCTCTTTTGCCTCTAGAAGGCTTGGGTATTCAGACATCTCCCAGCCCACCTCTGGATTCCAGGATATTTCTCCCCAGAATTTGTTGAGAGTGTTGAGTCAAGCAGAAAGCCAAGAAAGGAAGTACTTGCTGCCCCAAAGAGGAAGAGAGATTTCCCCCCTCCCAAATAACCCCTTTCCAAGCCTGTCACTCTTGGGCAAGCGTGCTCAGAGTCATACTACAGCAGGTAGGGTGTTTGTATTGCACACAGCCAACCCAGTTTAATCCCTGGCATTTCACATGGTCTCCTGAGCATGCCAGGAGTGATTCCTGAGTGCAGAGACAGAAGTAACTACTGAGTATCACTGGGTGTGACCCAAAAAGCAAAACAAAACAAAACAAAAACCAAAAAAAAAAATAAAACCAACCCAAAAAACAAACAAGCAAACAAAAAAAAAAAACCCATCAGTGCTCACTTTTTATGTGAGAACTTGGGTGCAATCCCCAGCACCACAAAATGATAAAGATTTATAATGATAATAATAATAATGAAATCAAGACTCCAATTGGCGGGACTGGAGTGATAGCACAGCGGGTAGGACGTTTGCCTTGCACGAGGCCAACCCAGGTTCAATTCCCAGCATCCCATATGGCCCCCTGAGCACCGCCAGGAGTAATTCCTGAGTGCAGAACCAGGAGTAACCTCTGAGCATCGCCGAGTGTGACCCAAAAAGAAAAAAAAAGACTCCATTTGGCAGGCTAGGGGGTGGAGGGATACCCTGTACTGCTCAGGGGTTACACACAGCAGCTCAGTGTTGGGCTGTTTTCATTGGTATTCGGAGACCAGGCAGTCTGGACTTGAACCTGGGCTTCTAGCATGCAAAATATGCATTCCAGGCCCCCCTGCCCCTTTTTTTTTCTCATTCAGGGGCCATTCCCAGCAGTACTCAGGGCTCACTCCTTGGCGAGCAGTGCTTGGTGAGCAGTGCTCACTTCTTGGCAGTGCTTGGGGGAACCGTATGTGGATTCGACATTCAAGTTGAGGCTGGTTGCACATAAGGCAAGTGCCTTAACCCCTGTACTATCTCCCCAGCCTCTGTGTTTCAGCCCTCTGCATAGTCTATTTCCCCTCCCCCCGGGTCCCATGACTCCCTTACTCTTCTTGCAACCAGTACACACACAGGTTTAGGGGCTGTGCTCTGCTGGGAATCCCCCCTTCCTGAGCTCTGAACGGGCTCCCACCAGAAAGTGGAGGACTTCCTGCTGGGGGAGGAACTGCAGGGAGGGAGGGCAGGAGGGCCGTGCTCTGCTCCAGCTGGCCGGTTTCTGTCTTCTTTCCGGCTGCCAGCCTTGCTTCCCTAACAAGGTCAACAGGAGGACCAGCTGGAATGACGTGTTTCTGATCCAGTTACTGGCGCTGTGAGCTGGCTTTGTCCTGTCAGCTGGAAGACTACACCCCCAACAAGCAACTCTGCTCAACAAACTGTGTCCCCGTCAGAGGGTGACAAGCTCCCTTCTCCCTGAGACAGAGCAAGCAAGACCTCAAGTCCTTGGGGTGGCTGGCTGGATCAGGGGTCAAGAATCAAGCTGGCTGACCAAGTCCATTTCAGGGAGAGCATGTATTCCACACTGGACAAAATTCCAGAAGTTCTTTAATAAAGTATCAAATGTCAGGGTCAATTGGGACACATTTCCAAAAGGCATCTGGATAGGGGTGTTGAGTACAGTGGATAGGACGTTTGCCTTGCATGTGGCCGACCTGGGTTCAATTCCCCAGCATCCCATATGGTCCTCTGAGCACTGCTGTGAGTGCAGAGGCAGAAATAACACCCGAGTACAGTTGGATGTGACCCAATTCCTCTCCCCTGCCACTGCCCCCACTTTCCCCCACACCCCCCAAAAAAAGTGCAACAGGATGGGCCACATATGCCTCATACAGACTTGGAGGCTTAATTTTGTGTTTCATTATCAGGCCAGGGAGAAGAGGGAAGGCTGCGAGGTTTTCCTCGGCCCATCCATCAGCCGCTTGGCCTGGTCACTCTCTTCCGCTCTCATTCAGCTCCTGCTGAAGCTCTCGGTAGTCAAGAAACTTTTGAGCTCACATTCCTCATTTCCTCTTGTTTACCAAGTGGGGAAAGTTCCTCCTGGTTTACATTGTCTGAGGATGTGGATAGAGGCCAGCATTCTGGAAACCATCCTACCTTAAAAACGAGGGTAAGGCTAGAGTGAATGTCCAGCAGGTAGGACATTTGCCTTGCACATGGCCGACCCGGGTTCAATCCTCGGCATCCCATATGATCCCCAAGCACTTCCAGGAGTAATTCCTGAGTGCAGTCAGGAGTAACCCCTGAGCATCTCTAGGTGTGACCAAAAGAGAAGAAAGAAAGAAAGAGAGAGAGAAAGAGAGAGAGAGAGAAAGAAAGAAAGAAAGAAAGAAAGAAAGAAAGAAAGAAAGAAAGAAAGAAAGAAAGAAAATCATATAAATGGAACTTTAGGATGCTTACTCCTTTCTACCTACCCTATTAAGCCTGAAAATCAACATATTCAATCTTTTTGTTTGTGTTGGCTTGGAAGTCACACCGATGGTCCTCAGGGTTTACTCCTGTCACTGTGCTCAGGAATCTTTCCCGTCAGGATTGGCATGGAGCTTGCTGCGTGCAAAGCTAGTGCCGTAAACCTTGTACTATCTCTCTCTCTCTCTCTGACCCCATGAATCATTTTTTTTCTGGAAAAATATTATGATGGGGACAGAGAGAGCTGAACGGGCCAGAGCATGTTTCGTATAAGGTGAGCTGGGTTCGATCTTTGACATCACCTGGCTCCCCAAGCACCAGCAGGAGTGATTCCCAAGCACTGAGCCAGTAATGACTCCTGAGCACTGCTGGGTGTGCTCCAAAAATCAAAACACAACACAATACCAGCAGCAAAAGATGCTTAGTTGCCTATACCAATATGTGTTCTTCCCTTCTCTTTAGTATTAGAGTGTCTGATTTTTCAGTTGGCCCCAAGTTTCTGGTCTAAAGAGTATATTTTATGATCTCCCTTATAGCTAGTTAAAAGCCTATGGCTATGTTCTGATCAAAGAGATGCTCAAGTGTTAGGCAAAAGTTCTGTGAAGAATCATTGTAAGGAAAATGATCTCTTTTTCCATGCCTTGTTTTTTTCCTTCTGGCTAGAATATAGACTTGACGGCTGGAGCTTGGGCATCCACATTGTGCGATGAAATGGCATGCTTAGGGTGGTTACCTGGCAAGATACAAAAGAATTCCTTCAGGGCTGTGGAAATACCTCAGTGCAGCACATGTTTTGCATGCAGTAGTTCCAGGGTTTTCTTTTCTTTTCTTTTTTGCTTTTTGTGTCACACCCGACGATGCTCAGGGGTTACTCCTGGCTCTGCACTCAGAAATTACTCCTGGTGGTGCTTGGGGACCATATGGGATGCCGGGGATTGAACCCAGGTCGACGAGTACAAGGCAAATGCCCTATTCATGATGCTCTGGCCCCATAGTTCCAGGTTTGAGACTCACATCACATGCTCTCCCATCATTGTTGCCCTATATTCCCAAGCACCTCCAAAAAATTTTCTTGATGATTCTAAAACTACCATGCTAGCTTTGAGCTGTGTATGCCCAGGCTTCTTTTAGGTAAAAAAGAAAGAAATTTTTGTTTTCTGTTATTTGGAGTCAGACTTCAAAGACCTGAGAGAACTATATGAAACTTCTATCAATTCTCCTGGGCTGATTTTTTTTTACAGAAAATAATGGAACTATTTACTAATTCTTTTGGGTAATGGATAAAAATACCATTAATTTTTGGGCATTTCATGACAAGCATGTAAATAAGTCAATACACAACAGTATGAGGAAGCTCGTGTGTTTCAGTGGTGCTGATGCTAACCTTACTGCTTTCTGCACTTTTGCAGATGAAAATCTTGGTGGACAATTTCCTCCACTGTGCTGACCCTCGAGAACGTCATGGGCTGACTAAAATGGGAAGGAATGGGAATGAAGATAGAGGGTCGGCAACTACACCACCTCTGCTTTGCTGATGACATCGTTCTAATAACACCAAACATTTAACCAAGCGGCACAAATGCTGGCCGACTTTGACCATGAGTGTGGAAAGGTTGAACTACAGCTGAATCTCAAGAAGACAATGTTTATGAGAAACAGTTTCATTCCTGACGTTCCATTCGCTCTCAATGGAACAAACATTTCCAAATGCAACAGTTATGTGTACCTAGGTCGAGAAGTCAATATGACGAATGACCTGGCACCTGAGTTGCACAAGAGGAAGACAGCGGCTTGGAACACCTTCAAGAGCGTCAAAGAAATAGCTAAGAGGATGAAGAACCTCCGACTCTGGGCACATCTCTTTGATTCCACTGTTCTTCCTGCATTAACATATGCCTCAGAAGTATGCCTGCACCCTATGGAAACAGGATGAGAACGCTATTCGGGTCTCTCAAAGAGGAATCGAAAGAGCTATGCTTGGAGTAACCCGCTTCACTCAAATGAGAGAAAGAATCCGAAGTTGCGACCTCTGTCGACGATCAAGAATCAGGGACACTGTCTCGTTTGCCAAGGCGTTGAAAATCAGATGGGCTGGACATGTAATGAGATTTGGAGACGACCGCTGGACTAGAGCCGTTACCGACTGGATTCCATGGGATGTCAAAAGATCGCGTGGCCGCCCACCAATGAGATGGTCAGACTTCTTCATCAAGACCCTGAACAATCGGTTTGAGGCTCTTCATGTTCCTAGAACGAGCAGACGCCATTGGGCTACACTAGCATGCGACAGGGATGAATGGAGACATTACTGGTGCCTGCTCAAGCAAATCAATGAGTAA